GCTCACGCAAGTGTTGAGAATATTTTAAGGTTGTATTTTATTTTGCTTGGATTTCGTTTGGTCTGTTTGGATATTGTTTCTCTACCCGCTTTAGTCGTTCGCATGCAACTGTTGCAAACTTTGCATTTCTTTAAGACACGAAAAAGTACCACATAAAAACGCCTTCTTTGTAGCAACCGCGGTGCCTACCACTATATATACTAGTGAGGTTTGGGGTTGGGAAGGGGGTTTACTGGGATGAAAAAATAATATGAAAAGTTGTGATGATCTGGGTCCCAATTTCAGCATTGAATATGGAGCCGGTCCATTTTGAAAATTCGAAAATTCAGTATAGAAAGATATGGTTATGTCTTTTTAAGCATTACACTAGCGAATGCATACACATGTGCTGTTGATGATAAACAAGCAGTACTCTGTGTAGATAGCCAAGTATGTGTGTACGTTATGTAGTAGCTCACACACAAACAATGTAGCCTGGTTCTATCAGATATGTATTGCCTAAATCTATAAACTTGTCCCGTCCTTCCATTATAATACAATCTCTCTCACTTCCCTATCGCTAACTCGACAAGCAATAGGTTAAATGGTTACATTGTGTTCGACTCATTTGATTTACAGTAAAACAAAACAAAAACATTAAATTTACCAAATAAGTAGCCATTCTTCGTCCCTTCACCCCTTCACCATTAACACGCTTTATCTATTTCAAATCGATGAACCGAATCGCCACTAACCAACACACATTAGTGCGAGCGCGATTTGAAAAAAATATGAAGCAGAATTACACATTTTAAGGATATATGTAATGAAATATAGCTTTTTCATATGCATTTGAAGTGGTATATCGTATTTTGTTTATAATATGATGCGAGTTCTTTCCCGTACTATATTGTTATGATCTACCTAGAAGGTATCGTCAATTTGTTCCATCTTACTATTGCTGGCAATCGTCAAGTTTTCCATACACAGCAATGTGTTTTACAGGACTAAAACTTTATTCGCTAAAATAGTCAGTGCTTAAACGTAGCACAGTATAGATTGATGTACTACAGGAACAGTGTTTCGTGTTACCCGTTTGGGATTTTGTTCATGGAAAGCAAAGAGTGTCCTCGCATGATTTGATATTATCGTCATTACATACTAACGAGGATAGATCCCAGCATTTCAAATATAGTTCCAATTACGCAGACTTGTCTGGTGGTCAACACCCGGGAACCGACCGAGGTACCAAAAGAGTTGGCTACATTATGTAATTATCAATAAATAATTTGGTTCAGTATCTTAAAGAAAATGGTATGAGTTCTGATTGTCGAACCCACTTTTACCGGTACACATGACTGGATTTTGTTCAACATTTTCCTATTCAAATCGAATAAATATGACAAATTGGTATAAGGAAACATACCTAAACTGGCACTATTTTTTTATATTTTGTGCATTAATAGTAAGAACTGATTTCCCTTAACTTTCTATACTTCGGTGTCCTTACAAGATTGTCTACCTAACTAATGAGCCTTGTATATCGTAATAACCCAGGTTTGGTTGGTGTATTGTACATGCATTGACGTAGCGGGCATTGGCTGTATAGACAAACTCACGCGTATACTACTTTACTGTTAATAAAATGCAAAAATATTAGCAAAAACTGATTTGCATTACATAATTCGCATGACATCAAATGAAGACGTGTCCGAAATAGATTTTTATTTTAAGAAAAATCTTATATAGTATGAGTTATTGTTTTTGTTTACTTAAATTGTTCTTAATAAATTACGCGTTTTGCTGTAGATATTGTTTTGAAGGTGTAAGCCAAGCTTGGATCGTGCTTTGTATGACGTCATATCGTCGTAAGCACCGTTTGATTATAGTATTGTTCAGCTGTAAAAAAGATATTTTAATTCAGAACACACAATCAAGGTTTAAAATATTAATGCAACTTGAACTTGAAAGAGGCAATCTAGTTTAAATGTTGTAAACATGAAAATTTTCACTGCCCCCTCTGATGATAGCATTACAGCGAGTATATGTAAATAGCATTATAAAACATAGTGTGATGGGTGGAATTATCCTGGGCGAAAATTGATTCCATGTGTGATGGGCGAAAGTGTGACTAGGCGAACATTTCTCGGTATACAGTAAAAGTGTTGGTCTCAAATTCAATTCTGATGAGAATTAACATTCTCCGTTATCCTAAAGGCAGTAATATCGCTTTGACCAGTTATCGATCTTATTGCTATTCTTATTTCTGTTTGTGGTGAGATTATCTAATTTTTATTCAATCATTACAGTACAGATACCTCTATCACTTTGCATTTAACACACAATAATACTGATAGTTCCTAAAATGTCATTGAACATATTTGAGATATCTTCTTTCAAAAATATCTGGATGTGATCAAATTTATTCTCGCGATCTGGTTTGATATTTGAAATCTTAGAAATCAAAATCTTTCTACATCGCTCAAAATGCATGTTCCTGTGACTTACCAACAACAAAATTTAATCTGAAGATTCTGAAAGGTATGATTGAGGAGGAGATGCATAGAGGACGAGATGTATAGTTTACTGAACGTGCCATGTAAAGTATTAAAGAGGATTCCTGGTACACAATGAATGCCCTTCGTCATTGACCGGCTGTCCATAATGCGTCATAGTGAAGTAAGATACTGACTAATTATCTTGACGATAGAAATCAGCAGATGTGAACGGGTGAATTAGTTTAAGGAGTATGTGCAATGTAATTGAATTGTCAGAATGCATCATCACACTGGAAAACATGTTAATATGTAAAGAGAGAACAATTTCCAGTCGACGTTTGCCTTGGAGCGCATCTTGCCGACTAATATAACGATTATTCCGATGTTTGAGGCCAACAGGACTGTTCAAGCTGGTCCAAGCTCAAGAGATAATAATGTCAGGGTTAAGGTATATTCGGCTTACGCACATTACCAGTAATATGACCTAACCAGCAAATGTCGCTAAACTGAGAAATGTCAAGGTCGTGGATACATGCTTCTTCTTTCCTTAAGTATAATGTATGAGTTGTTTACAGAGCGTCAAATCTACGAAGATTGGTGTCTCAAAAGTCACTTTATTGGTCGGACACTAATTCACAATATGTCGGAAATTTAATCATAGATTATGCGACAATTTTTGCCAGATTCTGACATGGAAGTCAAAAATAGTAATGTGATTCTAGACTTGGATTATTTACATAGTTTATTTAACAGCAAAATATTACATGATAATTATGTACATGAAATTTACATAACACTATAACGTGTTAATAATTTCAATCATTCCTGCATTGAATGATCACACAATTAAACATCAGGGAATTTAACAGTTCCCTGTGTAAACAAAAAAGTATGATATATACGCTGGTTATTAATACTAAGGAAACACAACATCGTTCACCCCCCCCCCCCCC